CTAGGATCACGCTTTTGTTCTCTTGGAGCTATTTGGCATAAGAATTAAAATTAGACAAGAATTGAAAATGAATAGTTATGTGTGTATGTGGATTTAGTTAGTTACTAATTTAATAACACAAACACTTATTGACTGTCACCTATGTGCCAGGAATGGTTTTGCTGCGGGGGATACAGTGGTGAAGAAGACAGATCAGGTACCGGCCCTCAAGAATATTTGTACTAGTGAGGTAGATCCAGGATAAACCCATAAATTCATGAACCCAGAATTCATAAATTAATTTGACTCCACAGAGGGAAGAGGGTTTTGTAGGAAATTTAGCAGGGTAACGTGAGAGACTGATAGAAGTAGAGGTGACAGTTGGTTAGACAGGAAAGGCAACTTGGAAAAGGGGTGGTGTTTCCTGAGCATTAACTAGCAGGGATCCAGCCTCGTTAGATTTCCAAGCAAAAGGAAGAAGGACGGAAGGGATAAGCCTCATGTGCTCAAGTCATAGAGTGAAAATCATTGTATCTAGAGCAACCCTGTCCAATAGGACTTCCTGCAGCGATAGAAATGTTCTGTATCTACACTGTACGCTGTGGCACCACCAGACACACGTGACTGTGCAGCACTTGAATTGTGGCTGGGGTGACTGAGGGACTGAATTTTTAATTCATTTAAATTTAAACAGCCACATGTGGCCACCAGATCCCATAGTGAACAGCACTGGTCAAGAGTGAAGTTTCTTCCAAGGAGGGATAGTGGTAGGATGAAGGGCCAAACTCCATCAGATTTTCTATATCATACCAAGGACTGAGGTTTTATTCTAAGTGTAGATAAAAGCCAATGGAGAGTTTGAAGCAAGGTTCACGGTGTGATCTGATGGATGCTTTAAAAAGGCTACCCTGGCCACTGTGTTTGGAATTGGTGAGGATATAATGGGAAAAAGGAAGGCCAGTTTAGAGCCTCTTCACTGATCTATAGGGGTAGGTGAAGAAGACAGATTTGGGTATATTTGGGGGAGTAGAGGTGTTAAAACTTGCCATGGATTAGCTTTGGAGCATTTTTACTACTATTGTATTACTAGAGATGTTCTTATGTACATCCTGACCCAGAGCTCTGAACACCTCTTTAATTTGATTCCAGGGTTTTTGGAATTAAAATAGAATACAGTTTATTTGATAGTTACCAAACACGCTATTATAGAAGGGCAACTTACAAATTAGGCTCTAGAAGTCTAGGGTTTTGCTTTACAAGTTGAACTAAGGTCTTCACTTCCTAATGAGAAAATGAAGCTAATGAGCATAGATGTCTCAATTTTCCCCCTTGAAATGTCCTTAAATCTTTTGTACCTATTAGTACATGTATACCTTGGTACCTAGTATAAAATAGTCTCTAATTTAGCTAGAGTTTTATTATTTGAGTTTAATAACAGTATTTAATAGTACAAAAGAGTGCTTCGTTTTCATCCTTGGTCTTCTCAGCCGTAGGGAATATTGTGACGCCTGCTGTCTGAAGAGCTTGAGAACTTGAAAAGGTCTGACAATCAGGGTACTAGGAAAGATGTAGACCACCTTTGAAGTTGAGTAAAATAACATCGTTGTAAAAGCCTGGTAATAACTGTTCTGTAGAGATCGCTTGCATTTATGGTGAACGCCTTACATATAAGAATAAATCATAGGATAAAAACAAACATGTTAAAAGAGCACAGAAGGTAGAGAGCCCCTGAGTCTTGGTCCTCTGTTGGGAGGTCTGTTACCCTCCCACCATTGATAAGGCGGCCACTCAGAGCCCCCAGAACCCCCATAGCTTGTCTTCCACGGGTCTGACCTACTTCGCTCTCTGTTCTCCTGGTGCATTCAGGTGATGAAGGATTCCGCTCCCGAGCTGAATGTGAGTAGTTCCGAAACAGAGGAGGATAAGGAAGAAGCTAAACCAGATGGAGAGAAAGATCCAGATTTTAATCAAGTACGTGTTGAAGTCAGTTTCCATTGTCATACCTCCTGCCGTGCTTGGAAGAGCAGCCATTTCATGCCCCCAACTCTTCTCTGTATCCTGTGTGGGATATTGGTTCTCCGCTCCCTTCCTCATTTTTCCTCTTTCCTGAGTTCTGGTGGCACGTGATAGCTGTCCTGGTTTCTCATGAAAAGCCATGGACTACATTATTCCAGAATTAATATGCTTCTTGCTATTAAGCAAGAGCGGCTAAAAATTTTAGCTGGAACAAACTAAAACAAGACTCATATTTTGGTTTGTTGTGTAATCATGGAATCTTGAAGTATGAAAAATTATTTAACTCATATTCCCTCACTATAAACAAAATCAACGATAGCTTTTATTTTTAATAAAATAAAAGGAGTTTATAAGTGAGATTTTGGGTCCCTAATGAACGTGTTAGTCAAATGCCCAGATCAGCATTAGTCTTTCATTTTCCATTGTGCTGAACTTGTAATTCTATTAAGATTGCCTATTTTCTCTGTATTCTGTTATGGTTTTCTCCCCCCCCACCCCCAATTTGGTTGCTTGATTATGATTATATTCTGCATGTTCATAGTGATATGAGAGAAAATTGTCTTAAGAACAGGAAATAATGTGGAATATATTTGGTTGATATATGATGTAGATAAGTGTCAGCTTCTCAAATAGTCAGACTATATTCCAGGATCTTCTATGGGATTCGTGGAATTTCTACTCTAACTAGAGTTTTTACAAATAAGACATTTCTTTCTTTACTGTAAAATATAGTACGCTCAAGTTATGGTTAGCGTTCTCCCTGAAAGAATAACAGTGTTACAATGGCCATCTGCTCTATCTGTTACAGAGCAGGGCTGTCCGGGCTTGTTGGCCTGTCTGTACACACTGATACCGGTACTTCCTTTTCGACATTGATTAAGCAAGTCTGAAAAGCCCTCTTGACTTGAATCTTGGTCTCCCTGAGGTAAATGCTACTTGTGGTTTCCCAGCTGGCATAGAGTTATGTCAGCATTTGTTTTCCATGGCTTGTCAGGTCTCATAAAATATTAATTTTAAAACACCTATGAAAGAACAAAATCATGCACTTTTGTGTACCACCCTGCTGATGGCAATCAGCCGGCCTTGTGAAAGTTGTCTGACCAGCTTGTATTTCGGTCGGTCAGCCTTGGGGGTCCTCTTTGCTTCAGTGCCAATCAAATCTATACGTTGTATAGGAATGCAGGTTTCCAGTTTTGAGGGGTGTTTTCCTATAATAAATAACGTCCTGATTAAAATCTATGTACATGTATCCTTTCTGTTCCTTGGGATGATTTTTGAAATTACCGAATCAAATAATATGTCTCTTGATAGGAGTCTGCAAACTTTTCTTTATGCCTTCTAACCTGTTTGTTGTCAGTTTTTTCATGCCCTGTCTCCTCATACTGTCTATCTTCCAAGTCACAGATCTAAAAGCTAGTCTGTTTGCTGTTTTAGTTGCTATATTAAAAGAGTGTGTGTGAGAGATCCTGATTTAGGACTTCATTCTTTTTCATTTGCTGGACTGGTGGTACCATACTGTTTTAATTATTATCTCTTGGGAGTATGGTTTAACAATCAATTGGAAACCTCATCTTTTCAATGTTTTTTATTTCCTGTTGTCACCAACTCATTTTCTATTCTTTTGGTAAACTTGTAAATTAGTTTGTAAAGCTTGACATGTATACGAGGTCTGGCAATTAAGTTCGCAAACTTGTTGCTGTGATGTTGTTAACCTTTTTTTATATCAGGGATTATTGATTATGAATTTGTACCAACTGGACAGTTAACCAAGTTTATATTTGGAAGTGCTGAAAAGGCTGCGTGAAAAAGTTAGACGACCTGAACTTCTCGCGAATAATTCATGGCTCTTACATCACGACAATGCACCAGCTCACACGGCACTGTCTGTGAGGGAGTTTTTAGCCAGTAGACAAATAACGGTATTGGAACACCCTCCCTACTCACCTGATATGGCCCCCAGTGACTTCTTTCTTTACCTGAAGATAAATGAAATATTGAGAGGAAGATGTTTTGATGACATTCAGGACATCAAGAGTAATACGATGACAGCTCTGATGGCCATTCCAGGAAAAGAGTTCCAAAATTGCTTTGAAGGGAGGACTAGGCTCTGGCGTCGGTGCATAGCTTCCCAAGGGGAGTGCTTTGAAGGTGACTATAGTGATACTCAGTAATGAGGTATGTAGTATTTGCTCTATTGGGTTGTCGGAAAAGTCATGACGTAATGTTTTTCGTTGCAAAAATGCGTCATAACTTTCCCGACAACCCAATAGCATGCGTTCGCGAACTTAATTGTCTGACCTCATATTATTATCCTTAGTTTCTGTTATTTCAAGCTTGCTTTTCAGCTAAGAGGTAATTAGAAAAGTCTTTATATTTTCAAGTGACTTAGATTTTGGGGAAGCTAACTTTTTGAATATGCAGTTGTATTCATTATGGTCATAACCACAGCAATTTTTTAAAAGTGCATGTAGAATTATTCTCCTCAGTTGTGGATGACAACAGATTTCATTTACAAACATGATAGAGAATGTTGGGAAACATTGCTTTTTATGCTGTAATTACTTTCTATACTTTATAATTTTCTTCTGTCTTCTCCTTGTTTGGATGTTGTAATAGTCTAGAATGTTTTAAATAGTTCTTGTTCCACAAAAGAATCTCAAGTGTAACCTTCCTACTTTAGAAAAGAGTCCCAGAATGCCAGTCTCAGACCTTTTCTTTGTAATTCAGTTGATTCTTGAACAATGCTGGTGTTAGGGGTTCCGACCCTGACCCCCCCACACACACACACACAGACCGCACACCTGAAAATCCATGTATAACTTTTTTTTTTAAGATTTTTATTGGGGAATTGGGGAAGGGGAACAGACAAGTTGCTGTCCTTTTGTTCTTTAGTCTAGTTGTAGAGGACGTTGCTTCACTGGCCCGTGTTGGTATTATCATTGTGGTCTTCCTGGGTGAGGCAGTTGCTCGCTGGCCATTGGACGGCCGCTCACGGTGGCTCACGAGAGCTCATGCCAGCTGCCAGCCAGCCCTACTGCAGCCTACGCCATCACCGGCGACTCACGGCAGCCCAGCTCCAGGTCGAGCCATTGTTCACCATCTTAGCTGTAGAGGGTGCAGCGTCACTGGCCCTCAGGTGGGATCTGAACCGGGGCCCTGCTGCTCAGAGCTGGGGTCCCAAGCCAGCCAGCTCTTAATGCGCCACTCGGCTGGCCCCCATGTATAACTTTTGACTCCCCCAAAACTTTACTAACAGCCTGCTGTTGACTGGTAGCCTTACCAATAACATAAACAGTCAATTAACACGTATTTTGTATGTAATATGTATTATATATTCTTACACTAAAGTAAAGTTGAGAAAATGAAAATGTTATTAAGAAAATTATCAGGAAGAGAAAATACATTCATTATACTTACTGGGGGGAAAAAAAATCAATGTTTAAGTGGACCCACGCAGTTGAAACCCATGTTATTCAAGAGTCAGCTGTACATTATAGTATGTCAATACATAGATAGATAGCCCCTGTAATTGCTGTTTTAAATCCCTGTAATTGAAAATGATGCGTTCCTACTTGTCCTTAATGGAGATGAACAAATCCCCTTCCTCTTCTCTCTAAGCCAGATCAACCCACTTCCTTTGACTCTGACCTTCTCCACCATTTAGGTTAATAATGCACCAGGATTAGATATCACTTAGGTACTTGAAAGCTTTCTAAAACCAGTGGGCTAGTTTTTGTCAGATAAGTTGGATTTAAAGGGTTTTGTTTTTTTTTTTTAATATAATTCTGGGAAAAGCTTTTAAACCCATTTAAAAACTGAGTCATTAAAAATAGATTTGCTTAATGCCCAGGGCTTTGTTATTTGGTTGTATTTTATATTTCTAAAGTAAAGTTTTATGTTAATAGATATTTTTCTTCATATTCCTAATTATGGAATATAGGTCCAATTTCACCTTTTCTTTCAACAGTGGAGACTGAGAAAAAATGTCGCATCAACTTTTTTTTTTTTTTTGATCCTCCCATGTTCATGGAACTTTCTCTTATCACTGTTAGAATCACCTGTGTATCTTTAGACTCGGTGCTAGAATTGAACGTAGCCTTGTGCAGTGCCTGGCCAGTGGATGTCACCTAAACAAATGCTCTTCTGTGTCTGTGCCCTGATCCTCTTCTGCTTTGTAAATCTCTGAAGCTCCAGTAATGAATATGTGGCATCTGTGTCCATAATGATCCTAAACCACTCTGCTTATGCACAGCTGACACTCAGTGACAACTTTGGAAACCATAGCCAGGGCCTCAGAGTTACCTCATTCAGATTGAATTCAACCAGGGAAAAGGATTATTGTAAAAAATTCTTGTTTCGTTCATTGCCTGGCCCAGTGAGCAAGAAGAATCTTGATTCTTTGTTAACCTCCTGAGAAGGCATTCATGGGAGTGTTGTAGAAAGACTTTGGTTCTTATCTATTATTTATTTCTTAAGACTAATATAATGTGTTTTGTGTACCCATGTGTTTGAGGCATGATCATAAAATACGGTGAATGTTTAAATAAAAAATTTATTACAGTAAAAGACACATTGCCATTAATCCCCCTCAAAATATTCCCCCTTACTTCGAACACACTTATCCCATCGTTCTTGTCACTTTCTGAAGCAGTTCTGGAAGTCATCTTTCATGAGTGTCTTTAGTTGCGCTGTCATGGCTGCCT